TCTCTTTCCTCCCCCCCCTCCCTCCCTCCCTTCCACTCTCTCTAAAAATCAATGGAAAAAACAAGTGAGGATTAACAAAACAAACAAAAATACTGTAAAACTAATAAAAGTAATTATGTCAAACATATCAATAGTTCCACCAGAAACTATATACAGAGCACTTACAAAATATGTTTTAAAAAACTGTCAAGTAAGAAAGGAAACTATGTAGAAAAATACAGAGTGGGCTGCTGATGAGTTCATAGTCTAAAAATGCATACAGAGGCAAAAAGGTAAATTAGAATACAGGTCTATAAATACAAAACTTATGCAGCGCTCGGAGTGTGATCCCAGGTGTGCAAACACTGTGCTGTAGGGGAATCTCTCTCGTCACCCAGGAGGCTACACGGAACTTGGTCTGCAGGAAACTAGGTGGGCAGAGGGAGAGGGGGACGTTGCAGGAATCGTAGGCTGCATGGACAAAGGCCGGAGGGAAGAAAGGAAATGTGGCTTCAGGAATTCTCTCTGACTAGATATGTGCTCCATGCTCACTACTCGATGAGTCACTCTTTGCTTCTCCAGCTGGGATTATTTCCTTGCCTGAGTCCATCCAATGTTCCCCGCTGGAAGGCACTCGCGGGAACAGGTCATTGCTCTGTGCTGGCAGCCAGCACAGGACGACACGCTGCATGACCACAGTGAAGAGCTCGTCCTGCCCTTCTCCAAGAAAACAGCAGATGCTTTCCCGATGATTTCAGTCGACTCACCGTAGAACTTTCCTTACAGAGCCTGTTGTTTTGCCCAAAATCAAAAGTGCACATCCACAGAGCGGAGATTTCAAAGATTATCAAAGAATGTCAAGAAGAAAGTTTCTGGAAGAGAGGTAAATTGTACCCCTCTTAACCTTTGTTAACACTATGTGTGCTGTAATAAGCTGCCGAAGTATCATGTTAGAATTATGGTAATGATTTACTTTTGAGCAGGGACTTTGCATAATTCCTTGAAGACCTTTGATATCTGGGTTGTTCAGAGGTTTAAATCCATGTTGAGACCCCTTTTAAGGGCAGAGCTAATATCTGATTTAGGATCATTTTACCACAGCACAAAAGTCATACACACCTAATGCTGTCCTTCATGTAACCCAGAATGTGTGCCAAGAGTGTTATTTAGAATTTCTTGAAAGAGTAAAGCTTCCTAAATTGCACTAGACTCTAACCTCATCGAGTTCAGGAATAATGTCAAGTTTATTGCTTCATCCCAGAGCCAATACAGGGCTCCCGTACAGGAAGCACCTGATCAATATTTGTGGAATGAATGGAAAGTGGCAGCGTCCATTAATACTTCTCTTACGATGTCTCTGAAACAACCTCTTCTGCTGAGTCATCTCCTTCCTCACCCTGCTTGATATAAATAAGACAAGGGTGTGAATTCAGGCTGTGCTTTAAGGTCTCTTCCAGTTGGAAAAAAATCATGATTTGTCATCTGAAAATGTTATAATAGAACCTATAGATATAGCCCCCGTATTTGCAACATTGCTTACACAGGGATAATTTTACTTGGAGATACTCATTTTGATTTCTCAGATCATTCAGATTCAGTATCAGTTGTTTTGGAAGAAACGCTCTTTGGAAGTTGATATTTGTTATGCATTACTATGATGATTGATTGTGTTCCTAGCGATGCATGTCTTTTCTGACAACCTATGAGTAAGTAATGTAATTAAGCTCTACTAGACTAAAATTTCAGTATGACCCATTCGCCTACCATCCAGTAGATGTGAGTGGAAAAATTGATGGCAATTTAATCTGTCTTGGTTGCTAGGAAGAGCTAGATGTTTATCACCGCTCTCTGCTTTTAGAAGTCGTTTGACACATTTTGACAGAACAAGAAACTGCCTTTGCCAGACTAACTTGCCTGTTTTAAAAATCGCAGCTAAACATTCCCCATGTTTGACACGAATGTAGTAATCTTGTAATCCTCAGAAAATAGACATATCCAAATTGTGCAACAAAATATCATGAGAGACAAAAGCAGAGACTTGTTCTAGATGGGATGTGCAGGACTGGTGTTTTACTTTCATATAGGATTAAAAATTTCATAATATATAGTTAAAGGCAACTCCCAAATTCAACAGCTACATGTCCACACACACTGAGAACCTGTGTTGTATGTGGTGATCAGAGTCTAGTGCGTGGTGGGCACTCAGTAAAAGTGGATGCCAGAGACCGAGTCCCGTGGGGTTTAGGTTTGTTCGATTAAAGCCCTACATCAGGTTCGGTGCCCCGGGCAGACCCCAAGAAAATTATGCAGACTGTATACTTAATAAATATTTGTTGAATAAGTAAAATAACAAGTGAGTAAAAAGTCATTGCCAAGGTAGGTAAGAGAAAACACTCGGAGTAATTCTTCCTGACTTCTAGGTGAGGTGCCAAGTTCTAAAATCCCAGGACTGAAGGGCTTTTTTGTTTTACAGCTCTGCCTTTTTCTCTTGGAAGCATGCTTGTTACCCAAGGACTAGTCCACCACGGTAAGAATCAACATTTGTTCAAGAATTTAACTTAAGAGAGCCCAGTTTCCTGTGACCCCCCTGGCTGCCCTTTGGTGCTTGGCATTTATTTTGTGGTGAAGGAGTTATTCACGCAGGCTTTTGCCTATTTTCAGCATAAACCCCTCCACCCACCCCTCCGGAAGATGTCCTAATCCCCAGAATGAGTGACTGAGTTAGTTTACATGGCAGAGAGAAATTAAAATTGCAGATGGGAAGGCTGTTCATCAGCTGACCTTAAAACGGGGAGATTATCTTGGATTATCCAGATGGGCCCAGTGTAATCAAATGGTCCTTAAAAATTGGGTCAGAAGATGGAACCAGAGAGATGGGAGCATGAGAAGGACTCACCTCAACACTGCCCCCTGTGAAGATGGAAGAGGGGCCACGGGTCCAGAGCCCAGGAATGGGGGTGGCCTCTAGAAGTTGGGGAAGCAGGAAACCCTGGACTCTCCAGAAAGTGAGGCAGCTCTGCTGGCTCCTTGATTTTAGCCCGCTGCTAAGGTCTAAATGTTTGTGTCCCTCCCCCACCCTCCAATTCACGGGATAAAATCCTAACCTGAAAAGGCGATGGTATTAGGAGGTGAGGTCTTTAGGAGGTAATTACCCTAGGGAGTGGAGCCCTCAAGAATGGCAGTGCTCTTGCAAAAGAGACCTCACAGAGCTCCCTAGGCCTTTCCACCACAAGAAGTCTGCAAACCCAGAGAGGGGCCTCACCAGCCGTGCTGACACCCTGATCTTGGACTTTAGCCTCCAGAATTGTGAACAATAAATTTCTGTCATTTATTAAGCGCCACTCCCCCCCGCCCCCCAATCTTGTTAGAGCAGCTCAAACAGACTAAGACACCCAGGGAAACTCATTTTGCGCCTCTGCCCTCCCCACATAACCTCTCCCTGCCTCCTAGCTTTCCAGTTCACCTCCCTACCCTTCCTCTCTTGCTCCGTTCCTTTTCCCTGTCTTGGTCTCACCAGAGGACCCAGAGGCATGGCCTAGTCCCCAAATAGCAAGAAGGCACCTGACCCTGTTGAAGCCCATTATGTTGAACACTGCTGAGGACCAGGATTTTAAAAAGAGCATTTGTGCCCAGCAAACATGAAAGAAGACGTTCTAGTTCTTTTTTGGGTCTCAAAGACCATTTATCTAGGAGAACCCTAGTTCAATCAATATTATTCTTAAGGATTAAAGTTGATTGACTAAATATGATTTCATTTTTATAACTCGAAGATAGTCTTTTTATAGAAATATATTCATCCATCAGTAAAGTCTTTGTCAGATCATTTTTGACAACAAAGACATACAGTCACAACATCTGTAGGGATTATGTCCTATAAATATTAAACTTGTCAAAATCTATCACCTCTTGCCTGTGTGCCAATATACTTTTCCAGGGTTGTGTATTAGTTTTCTATGATTACTTTTACAGATTACCACAAACACAGTGGCTTAAAACAATACAAATGTATTATCTTGCAGTTCTGGAGGTTAGACGTCCAAAATGGGTCTCACTGGTCTGAAATCAACGTGCCCGCAGGGCTCCTCTCCGGGGGCTCTTGGGCTTACTTTCCCTTTCCAGCTCCTAAAGAGCACCCACATTCCTTCTTGGCTCGTGGCCCCTGCTCTGCCTACGAAGCCAAGTTCTTCTCATGCTTCTGTCCCTGAATCCCTCTTCTACGGTCAAGGGTCATTGTGGCTATACCCGAGTGATCCAGGATAATCTTCCTATTTGTGAAGTCATCTGATTAATCTTAATTCCTTTTTCTACCATCATTTCCCTTTGTCATACAAGATAACACATTGACGGTTTCCAGGGATTGGATATGCGCATCTTTAGGAGGCCATAATTCTGCCCACCACAGGTAGTAATGTTTTTATTGAAAAACAGTGGTACGTATAGAGTCACGTGTGGAATAACAGCGTTTCGGTCAGTGACAGGCCACGCACAGTGGTGCCCCCGTCAGATTAAAATGGAAAACTTCCCGTGGACTAGGGGGCCGCAGCCCTGGCACCGCTTCTCAGGTGCTTGGGGCACCCGCCGCGCTGCCCGTGAGACAGAGGCGTAGCCACAGGAGGCCACGTCGTGCTTGGTAATGACGCCAACCGACCGCGTTGCCGGTTCATGCGTTTGCTGTCCCGCGCTTTTCATCCCTGGTTTAGACGGCCCCTCCCGCTTCCAGGGTTTGCAGCAGCCTCGCCACCTCGTGTTTGCTGTCCCTTGATTCCGTCACTGTCTTGTGCCGGCTTTAATCCCGTATTGTCTGGCACAGGAACGTGCTGTGCAGGTCTGTGGCCCAGGGACAATAGCTGATCCCACACAGCCTAGGCGTGCAGGCCCGCGCGCCTGTGCTTCGTGATGTTTGTACAGCGAAGAAGTCGCCTCATGACGCATTTCTTACAGCGCAGTCCCTGCAACTGTGGGTCCTGAAGTTGGGCTTCTGTGTTGAGCTACATAAAAAGGGGAGGGGGCAGTGAGTGATCGCTCGGAAACAAGTTGCTGGCTCCACCTCTGCCTTGATATCTTTAAACAAGCCTTGAATTGTCTGTTTCATGTTCCTTTTCTATACATTAAAGTTAACACTTGCTACTTAGCCAAAATGGCTATTTGAGAGTTAAATGCAATCAAGAATTGAATTATAACTCTTTTAGGGTCATCCCTTCTAATTATGAATCTGCATAGCCCTGGCCAGGTGGTTCAGTGGGTTGGAGCATAGTCCCATACACCAAAAGATTGGGGGTTTGATCCCCGGCTGGGGCATATACAGGAGGCAGCCAACCGATGTTTCTCTCTCTCTCTCTTTCTCTTTCCCCCTTCCTCTCTCTCTAAAGTCAATAACAAAACATATCCCTGGGCAAGGATTAAAAAAAAATCTGCGTGTATCTTAAACTTTGAAGATTTCCTTATAATTTATAAATTTAAATAAATAATGAAATGAAATAATAATGTATGTACTACTCCTTAGGTTATTTAGCAGCTAACCCAAGATTTGGATCATTGCCTAAAGTTGCACGTAAGTCATAGAAGTTAAAAAAATTATTTTTTAAAAAGAAGATGTCTGTAGCAACTAGAGATATGACTGTCCAGGTTAACCAAACTGCCTGCATGGAATTTCTGGAAAATCAGTCTTTCTTTTCCGCCACTTTACAGTCCTTAGTTCATTCAGCACTTTCTGGTGTCAAGTAGAGCCATAGGAACCTCACCTAAACAGTCCTCTTTAAAGCGTGGACTAGGAGCGCCTGGCAGAGCACACAGGGGATACCTGGGAGGTTCCTCTGCCTCGTGACCTCTCTCTCCCACAGGCAGGATGGACTGCGGCTCCACAGGCCCCAACCCATAAAGAGAATTTCCTACCCAGTGATTTGGAGGCTACCTATAGCCACAACCCAAACCATCCCTCCCCTGGTGGCCTCAGACATTTGTTTGCTGGTTGGACCTTCCTCCGGCTGCCCGGCTTGGGGCCACCCCTTTGCTTGCTCTGTCCGGGCCCTTCTACTACCAGTTTAAAACTGAGTCAGAAAGTCTCCAGTTCCTAGTCCTGCTCTTCAATAGGGAGCTTTATTCTTGGAGTGTTTGTTCACTGATTTGTCATGGTACTTTTAATATTAAAGTTATTATTATTCATGAAGAGAATTCTAGAAGATAACTAATGGAAGAGATGCTGAACCTTTATTTAACCTGTCTTTCCTTACCTGCTTTTGCAGTTGCTGGTATTGTGGGATACGGCCTTGGGAAGGCCTCATACATAGGAGTTTGCCAGAGTAAATTTCATTCCCTCGACGATCAGCTACGTGGCTCTGGTTTTGGTCCAGGGCATAACAGGTTTGTAATCTGTTTGATTGAGGGATTGTAATGAAGATAGTTATAAAAATATAAATAAAAGATCATTCACCATTTATAATATGAAACAGTTTTTCTTCACATCCATATGTTGGGGAAAAAACCTCTTTAAACCCCCAGTTTTGAGTTGTTGCCATTTAACTTCAATAATAACTACTTATTATTTAGCTTAGGTACCTATCTCATTTGCTTAACAAACATCTAGTGAGTACCTACTACGTTCAAGGCACTGTGCACATCTCAAAAAAATAATTTAATCAGCAGACATGGCTTCTACCATCATGGGATTACACCAAATTTAAACAGGTTTCTCTACTGCAGGACTTTTCAGAGCCTTTACTGTGTTAATATATACTCTGATTCTCATTAGGGGTTATAAGCAGTAGGACTCTGAAGTTAAAGGCTTTGCCTTTACTGTTAGAATACCTGAGTTGAAAACCAGATCTACCATTTATTAAATAAACTATGTAATCTTAGAAAAGTTTCTTAAACTCTGTAATCTTCAGTTTTCTCACCTGTATAAAATCGTGAGCAGGATTGTTTTCATGGAACGTTACAAGGAATAGAAATGACTATGAAGCTCAGTAAGTGCTCAGTAAATAATAGCTATTTCTACTATAATATTATAGGACTAGTGGTGGGGCCACGTTTCACTAAAGACTCTCACTTGTCACAGTGGGTTCTATTTCAGAGGCAGCATGGTACTATGAAAAAAGATCATTACTGGCCTTTTGGGGATGAAATTCTGGCGATCTCAAACCAAGCAACAGCTCCTATTAGTCCCTAAAAAACTAGGCCTGTGAACTTCAGCATAGGAAAATGTCTCTCAATAACGTGTTGAGACCAGAGTTTGCAGCGTCAGAGCACAAACCGCTCTTGCTCTGTCCTAGGCACTGCCTGCTTACCTGTGAGGAGTGCAAAATCAAGCACGGGTTAAGTGAGGACCGAAGCTCACAGCCTTCCGCTTCCTAGGCTCTGCATCTGCGGCTTTTGAAGTTTCCTAAACCTCCAAAGCTGTACACATTTGAAATTTCAAGTGTACTTGAAAAGAAGATACAGTGAAACCGAAACATTGTGATTCTCTCTATGGAAATGCTTTCTGTGGAAGATTCTCAATTGATTTGAGTGTTGTATGTTTTTCTACTATGTAAGAACATGTTGGGAGAATTCACACACCAAAAAAATTATATTGCATTCTAACTTGCTTACAGCGAAGTAAAAAAGTTTGAAGTCCTCTCTGAGTCTCCCCATCCATTCTTTCATTGTGCTTTAGTCCTGGGTTTTAAGATCTCTTAAAGAGGGCAGGAATGAAGGTGGAGGAACTGGGGAAATCATCCCCCCCCCCCCAATTATCGTGTATGGAGGTGGAAACACAGGGCAAGAAAGATTGCTTCTTATAGGTATGTGGGGTGCTTAATGAAAAACATGTCACTCCAGAGAGTCTCAATATGAATCAACTGTCCTTTCAGTGACCTCGGTGACTATGCCTCATGGGTATGGTGGAGTTTTGCTTAGCTCATGGTCATCACTCAAGCACTGGGTTCTTTTTATATACTGCTTGTGCTAAAAGAGTAAACACAACTTCCATGGTCCCTTCTCTTCCCAAGGAACAGTTTGTTATGGGAGGAATCATGGGAAGAATTAATTCATAGAATGATAAACTTTTAGGGTTGTAAAGAACTCAGAAGCAGCCAGTTCAGCCCCATGAGTTGGATTCCTATTTACTGCCAGGTTTTTTTTGTGTGTGTTTTTGCAAAAAAACAACAAAAAAACCTCTTCCATTAGGGACCTTTTGTTTTATGGCAGGTTGTCTGAGCCCTACTTGAAAACTTCCCGTGCATCTTTGCATTTTCTCAGGAAAATCTTTTACATATGTGTCACCGTTTATACATTGGGCATGTGCGTGTGCACATATTTGTGTTTTGCATAGTACAATTTGAAACCTGCACCATATAGATAAAAAGGGAAATCTTATCAGAAGTTAATACTTGATATGAAACATTTTATTTTAAACATCAAAAATATTTGCAAGTTTCTATTTTTACGTGAACATTGAGTGTATGAAATGGAGTGATTCTGACTATTTCCTTATGTATACATCTCCTGGTTTCTCAGCTGATAAAGTTCTCCTGTACATCAGAACACAGAGCCAATATCCTAGCCTCTTGGATGCAGTTTAACTCTGGATTCTCACAATTAGCAATTAGTGACTCTTTGTTACCTCAGCTATTGGTAAAAATTCAAATTGGGCACATTTATTTCCTGCATTCCAGAAAATGATTTCCCAGGGATCAGAACATTTTCACATTGCTAAGCACAGCAGGTCGATGCAGAAATCAGTCTCGGGGTACTGGGGAAAGATGAATCTATTATTGTTGGAAAGGCACTGCTGACATCTTCATAGTTCTGATTCAAATTGGGGGTTTTGTTGTTGTTTGTTTGGGCTCTCAGCTTTTCCTATGTAGGTAAGTTATTCATTGATGCAGTTTTTTCAAACTGATCTCAGTGTGAAAGGACATCAATAAGGAAAAAAACTAGAAGGTCATCCAAGAACTCTCAAGTATTTTGCTTCATTGTCTATTGCATATATTAGGGAGCAAGTGTCTGGGGGACAGTGTCTGTTTCTTATAGGAAGATGTGTTAAAGGAGCAGCATTAGCTGTTTAGCATGTAGCAATTACCAACAACACTCACCGCCAAGCTGGTCATGAGCTTGTGAAAGCAATACCTTCGTGATGGAAAGAAAAAAAAAGTACTGTATATAGTGCTTATATGTTTTTAAAATTCTAATTTAAGCCAAGATAGTCTCTTTCCTTGCTCTCAGAGTGGGAGATTTATCTATTTTCTGTGACCATTACAAAAGTAATAAAATTTATCTTGAATGACATGGTTGAGCCATGGAAAAGTGAGGTAGGCAATTTTCGTGATATTCAAATAATGCAATCTGTTCATTGACAGGAAACGTTTCCACTTTGAAACTCTACCCCCAAATTTCGACTGTAGAGTTTGATTTCATAGACACTGAGTTGGCAGATATTTGGGTGATTAACCCACAGGCTGCAAAGTCCAGGACCAAATAGTGTCACTGAGTGAAGCTGAACGACTTGCTTGTTAAACAGGCATAATCTTCACTTCCACATACAAATGTGCGGCCCACTGCTGGCAAATCTCCCACTTTATCAAAACAAGTGCAGGTTTTTATGTGACATATCCCAGTTTTTAAAATCTTTATTCTTTCATATATTCAATTATTGTGCACCCACTGTGTGCCAGGCACTGTCCCAGGTCCTGGGAATGCGACAGTGAGTGCAACCAACAAGATTCCACACCTTCCAGTCTAAGGTTTGAGATACGACTCACCCTGCCACCCACTGGAAATCTCCTCTGCTGTCCCCACAGGTGAGGCTCCAGGGCCTACATATGTACTTCCAGGGGAAGGACACCCGCTGCTCCATGTGCAACCCAGGCCACTGCCCCGCTGCAAAACTACCCAGAAAGGTCTGTGGGAGCCCAGGCCTCTTCCCTGGCCCTCTATATGGCCCCTCCAAGGCAGGAAGTGCATCCTTTTACACTTCTCTCTCAATCTCCATCCGCAGGCAGATTCCCTGGCCAGATATAGGCACTTCATAGATGTTGCTCAGCCTAAACCTGTCATTTCCCTGTGGCTATAGAACAGAATTCTTATTCTTTTTTCACATAACAGCTTTTAAATATTGGAAGGCATGTTCCTTTCAGAATTCTAGCAAAAGGAAAAGGGCCCAGTTTTTTCTAACCATTAGAGTGGATTTCCAGCCCCATCACATCCTGGTCCTGGGGAAACCTTTGGTTTGTGATGTCCTCACACACTAAGACTCCAGGAATGAGTTGACCAGCTCAGAGGAGAGCAGGGTTATTGTGCTTTTTATTTTAGGCACTTGAACTGATAGCAAGAGGGACTCTGCATCAGGGCCTGGGCTCTACTCCAATTCCACAACTTACTGGCTACTTGACATTGAGTCAGTTATTTAGCTACTCTGGTCCTCAGTTTCCTCATCTGTAAAATGGGACCATTTTAGATTTACCTGTAGGTTATTCATGAGAATAAAATGAACTAATACAAAATGCTTAGAACAGTGCACAGCTCAGAGTACTCAATGGATGTTAGCTATTACTACTCCTACTACTATGCAGTACAAAAATGTGTAACTATGTCCCACTTTTGGCCCATGCTAGGTTTTTTCACATGACTTACCTTTAAGTCAATTCTCCCCATTATATGCTTATGCAGCCGATCATCCTGAATTTCAGTGTAACCCCTTATATATATACGCTTCTCTCTTTTCAATTTTATGATGCTGTTTTCAGGCCCAACTGTCTTTTTCAGTCCAAAATTTGTGATTTAACAGGTGAGTGATGTGTCATCTGCATTGAAAAATATTCAGGTTACCCCCTGGGTTTCTTAATGTATACTGTTTATGGCACATGCTCCAACAATCTTTGTTAACTGAATGATTGTCTTGCAGGAGCAGTGTATTATAAAATACAAACCTCAGGTAGTAGCTTGGTTTATTAGATTCTCTCATCTCTAGATGTGTGGGGTAGATGCAAACTAATTGCCACTAGAATTCAGGGGCAGTGGTGGTCACTTCTGCTGCCCTTCCGGATTGTAGTACTGGTCCAATTCTTTACCTCTCCTCATATCCATGCCTTTTGTCATGGATTTTGCATTTCCTTTCTACTGCAAGTGGGGCATAGTTACCTCCCTCTTGACGTTGGGCTTGTCCATGACTTGCTTTAGGTAAAATGCGAGGCGGAAATGAAGGTGTGCGAGTTTCAACCTTAGGACTAAAGAGATCGGTGTTTCCATTTGTGTCTCTATCATGAACTTAAGAACAGGCCCGGGACTAAAATGCAGAGGCAATAGCTTGCAGACTGACCCATCAGTTCCACAATTGCCTAAGATCTAATCCCTACAATAAACCCCTTACTTGGCATCATTCAGAGCAATTCTGCTTTTCTATCAAACTCTAACGCAGGAACTGGGTAGCTGGAAGTGGACTGTAGACGTATCAAAAACCTAACACCTCGCATTGGTTTTGGACACAAGTGGCATATAAATGCTGGCAGGACTCTGAGGAGATCGTTAGTGAAAACCTGAAGGGCCTGGGTGAGGGTGTTAACAGAAGCCTGAAGAGCTTCCAGGGTGGCTGTCAAGGAGGGATTAGAGGAGAGAGGAGCGCATTATTAAAAGCTGAGACTGTGATGACGTTCAAGTTTAGCAGAACTATCATCTGTGGAAACACAGAAAATAGGAAATGGACCTAATGAACTTGATTAGCTAAGATTTCTGGGCAGTGTTGAGCGTGCCACCTGGCTGCTGTCTAAAATTAGAGAAGTGAAACAAAAATTATTACATTTCCAAGTGATTTGGAGAAAATATAAGAGTCTTTTAAACCAGCGAAGGGCTCTCATATTCAGAAATGGCTTCCAGGCAAAGATCAAATCCAGAGTGAGCAATGACTTCTTGTTCAAGACCTCAGAAAGATGAGTCATCATAGGACATTTCAGACACACAAATGACCCTCTACATGTCCTAGAAGCATAACCTGTAGACCCTGCCCAAGGCTTCACACAGGGAACCCAAAATAGAAAAGGGATTACTTCCAGTACACATAGGTGGCTTTTGTGAAATTGATTTTCAATTGATCCTTCAGAACTCCACAGATTTTTTAAAAGTATTCCAGTTTGGATAAGGACAGTATAAAGGGGCCTTGGTGCCACGTCCTCTCCCAACCATGTCTGACAAGATCCGGACGTGGAGAGGAAGCTTCAAGGAAGGGGTCTTCTGGGGAGAGGACGTGGCATGTGGGTGGGAGGAATTGGCTTAATGGCAATATCCCTTCTCCTCCTTGGAGGGGGATTTTGGGCCATAAATCAGTAACTAACCTGGGAATGGTAAACAATGTTCTCACTTCTGAAGAAATCCCGATTTCCCCAAGTCCAGTCACTACCACATGTGCTGGATGCTTTAACAAATTATTAGAAGCAGCTAGGAAAACTCCCCCTGGCGCCCCCAGTGAGGAATTCATGGAGGAACTAGGGAAAGCTGAGCTCAGGCAGCCGCCTGGCCTCCAGTGCCTCCCCGTGATTGCAGGATTAGTCCAGGACAGGAAAAGGCCATCGCCCCTCGCCTACTGCGCAAGGACCACCCTGGGTAGCACACAGAATAAATGGCAGACTGCGGCATCCCCCTGAAGGGGCCAACAGTATGGAAAGGCCACCAGCCCCTCCTCCGCCTCACACAGGTGCTTACGCTGGGAGCGGCATCAGGACAGTCACTGTAAACCGAAGGCATGTTCCGTATGAGAACCTGCCCTTCATGAAACGCTCGGCAGGGCGGCCACGCCGGCGCTCGCTCCCCAAGGAACAAAAGCAAAGCATTCTCAAGCAGTTAACCCATAGCTATGGCACACGGCACTCTTTTCCTAGAAGAAAATGGCAAGAAGAATATAATAGCTTATGAATAGGTCCATAGTTAAAATATAACCATAAGAAGTAGTAACCACAGGCAAATATTATATAAAATTTGTCTCACAAACTAATATATTACTGCTGCAAACAAAGCCACATCTATCACTCTATAGGTCACTGATTTTTCCTTTCTCCTCTATTCTAAAAAATAAAAGTCAAAATTGTTCCGTTCTGATGAAATCAAAATTTGTATCGTTTAACCTATGAATATTTCTTGCTTGCTAACCGAAAAAATGGAATCGTAGCCAAAAAAGAAAGTATAAAAGATTATGTTGATTCTCAATAAAGTGGAACAGTGTCACACCACCTCCGAGTCATGTAGTCTGCTGTCTCCCAGCGCCGACGCCTTGCCCACCTTCGGCACCCGACTCCCGCTGCGGCTGGACCGCGGCACCTTGGGGTCCTTCATTTCCACGGGCAGGCTGAGAAAACCACTCAGCTGCAAGCAAGAGCTACCTTTATGGGAAAGGTAGGACCACAAGTCATGATGAACCCCTGGGGGACATACCTTAGTCCTAGTCAAAGAACTGCCAATGTGAACCGGCTCTACTTCAGAATCACTGGCCAAGTGACTGGCGTGTACCTTACATTTCACTTTTTTAATAGGGATGTCTAGAGAAGTAATATTATGCCCAATAGGTATTCGGGTTGATATTCGGGTTGAACAGGGCAGATAACCTCTTTTAAGTTCATAGGTCTTTTTAAATGTTTTTTATTGATTTNTAAATTAAAAAAAAATATGTCTTTATTGATTTTAGATAGAGAGGAAGGGAGAGGGAGAAGGAGGGGGAGGAGATCAATATGAGAGAGAAACATCAATCAGCTGCCTCCTGTATGCACCTCAAGGGGGACTGAATCCACAACCCGGGTATGTGCCCCAACCAGGAATCAAACTGGCAACCCCTTGGTGCATGGGACACGCTCGACCGAGCCACACCAGCCAAGGCACAAGTTCACAGGTCTTCAGACCTTTACCCGAGCGCCTCTTCCATACCTGAACCTGATTAGATGGTGAGCGCCGATTTTGAGCTGTTATGGGATTCAAATCAGTTCCTGGGGAAAGCTGTGAGTTGATTATGCACGTGGGAGGAATTTGAACTACTGCGGCCAAATGCTGGGGTGAACAGTAGCAAAACGTCCCATCCCACGCGTTATTTTAAAAACATGAGGGTGGGAGTCTTTCTTTCCTGCCCTCGACAGGCAGGCTTGTCCAGAAATGCTACTGACTTCTGACGCTGGGTTGCAAATAAACGGCAATGAGGCTTTTAACGTACTAACTGGAACACTCATGCTAGAGTTGCAAGTGGCCACGTACAGCCTGAATGCCGTGAGCACACTGCTGTGAGGAGCCCACACTAGCCCATGGAGAGACAACATGGCAAGCCCCTGAAACTGAACGGAGAGAGGATGCCCTGGCCAGTCCGCAGCTGCTCTGGCTTCCTGCTGCTTCAGCTCCATCAAGCATCTGGCAGCAAACCTGAGATGAAGAGCCAAATCATTCGGCTGAAATCCATAATTCCTGACCCACAGAACAACTGAGTAATGTGTTTTACTTTAAATAATTTATTTTTCAATTACAGTTGACATAAAATACTGTATTAGTTTCAGTGTACAACCCAGTAAACTGGGTTAGATTAGACATCATATAACTTACTAAGTGATCACCCTGATAAATCAAGCCAACACTGACTGAAACACTAAGTTTCTGGTAGAAATGTAATAAGAATTTAGATGAAACCACAATTTCATTTTCCATTCACCTGAACAAGGAAAAAACATAAAAAAAAGTATACCAAATTTTTATTCCCCTGAAATTTGCGAAGTTTTTTAACATAACCACTGCTTTTTTAAGGCATTGAACCATTTACTCTGTGTTGGTCAATCTACAAGTCGCATTTATCATATCATTATTAAATATTCAGAAATGACTTTATTTCCTATCCCTACAAAACACCACTTACTTATAATTGTACTTAAAAGTAGATGGAAAACAGCCTGGCTGGTGTGGCTAAGTGGCTGAGCACCAACTCATGCACCAACAGGTGGCCTGTTCAATTGCCAGTTCAATTTCCAGGTTTCCAGCTCAATCCCCAGTAGGGGGCATTCAGGAGGCAGCAGTGACCAATGTTTCTCTCCCTCCCTCTCCTTTCCTCTCTTTAAAAATCAATAAAAACATACTTTAAAAAAAAAGATGGTAAACAAAACCATGAACTCAATGAAGATGCACGTTCCTTTAATATTTTATTTCCCATGAACATCAAGAGAATACAGCAAACACTGGAGAAAGGCTTTTTAATAATTTTTTGATGTAAAGCTTAACACATAAAATTATGCTCC